ATGCGTATTACATGACAACGGCGGCGCGGACGCCTTTCCCGCGCTGCCTCTCCCGTGCCGTGGCGAGCTACGGGTGCCGCGCGGTGAGCGGGCGGTCGCCATGGCAACGAGGCCTGCTGCTGACCCGCCCCGCCTGCCACCTCTCCAGGCGGACGTGGCCTAGGGCCCTCGATAGACTTAGCCTTATTCCTCTCTGAAATACGGGCCTTGTCGATGACAGCTTTTACTGCTGTCCTGTCACCATCGTGGAGGCACTGCTCTTAGGAGACGGGATGGGTTGGTGGCAGCCACTTCCCTATGTGGGGTGGGCACTGCGGGCACCATTTCATGATGAGGTGCTTGGGGAGGTGTTTTTCAGACATATTCCTGTGCAGAGAAGGCTTACGTGTAAAAGAAGAAATATAAAAATGGAAATAAACTGTAGAGTCTACTAAGCAAAGTCTAAAAAGTCTTCCAAATCTGATTTCTCTTTTTCTTCCTTTCAAGAATAACCTTGGAAAAAAATCCCATTGCCCAGATGGAACGAAAGAGAATTCCCATATAGGAATTTCCTACCTTTCTTCGGTTTCACAGTTTGACAAAGGAAATTGTGGTTCCCACACACAGCAAGATGTTGGTCTGCTTGGTTTTTCACTTTGTGAGACACCTTTGACCACGTGCTGAACAGGAGAACACCCAGATATTTAGGTTAAGTCATGACTTGGCAGTAGAGCCAGCTTGATCTCATAATCAGCATGCCCTGGCTTATGTGAAAACAATTAGAAGATAAAATGATTCCTAGAAGTCAAAAAGCATACAGTGTTATGGAATGTACTATAGTGGGAAACATTGACCACATATTGTAGTACTTGGTGCCATCAGGCTCTAAAGAATTGTACAAAATAAAGAAAACCTCATCCAAAGAGATCATTCCCTAAAACGAGGTCAGAAAACGTGTGAATAGTTACTAAAACCAAGACAATCCTTCCCAATAAAGTATTTAACAGGATTTCATGAGAGCTACACGAGAAGACAATCAGTTTAAATTAGGAATGCTGATTTACTCTGTCTAAACCGCCAAGGTTTGATCAAAACTGTTCAAAGCTTCACAGAGATTTCCTAAGTACGTAGATTCTCACATCATTTTTGCATTACAAGAACACAATCTGAGTTGAACGCAATTGTCCTCGTAAAAATGCCAGCCACTTTTCTGCACTGCTTTCACCGGTGTCAAGAGGCGAAGAGATGTCTCTGCTCCCAGGATGCAGCCAGCTGCTGTTTTCACAGGCATGAAGCTGAGCTCAGCGGGGTCAGCCGGAACCATCTTGGATTTGTGTCAAAAAGCCAGTGTGAAGGAGGATGAAGTATTCCTTTCAAGGAGATGAGAATGGCAGCTCACATCTAATCTCAGCACTAATGCTTTGGCTTTGGCTATTTGTTTTCTAACTGTAGGATTGGAAGCCTCTCTGCCAAGAGAGGTTGTGCAGTCTCCATCTGTGGAGGTTTTCAAGACCCAACAGGATAAAGCCCTGAGTAACCTGGCCTAACCTCACAGCTGATGCTGCTTTGAGCAGGAGGTTGAACTACAGATCTCCTTATGTCCCTCCCAACCCATGTCCCTTCCAACCTGAATTACTCTATACTATTCTTTCCATTCGTTTTAAATCTGCTCTTCTATCATCTTTGGCTTCCTTCAGCTATCAAAGCAATACATTACTAAGATTGAAAGTTCATTCCTACGGAGCATGACCAGGAAGAAGTTACAAGTTTAACTAGATTATGTGACTGAGACATATGGCTCAGCCAGAGATAAAATCTCTACACGAGTCAAAAATGCCATTACAGTTCTTCAAGAAAAAAATGATTAAAAGGGTGAAAAACTGCAAGTCTTAAGAAATACATATCACAGGCCTGTGTGCATTTGCAAAACAACCTGGAAATGCAAAATAACTACTGAAACACATTTATAGCACTACAATCTCCTGTATAATAACGACCAAGATGACTTTTGGGCATCGTCTTCACTGGCTGTACGGTTATATATCATACAATTTAAGCTGCTCCTTCATGTCTCCTTCAGACATCTCTCCAAATGTGTCACTCTTTTCCTTCATGAGCCTGAAGATGGCAGCCAGCTGCTCTCTCTGAACCCTGTCAACAAGAAAAGGAGAAGTAGGAATAGCCAGTCCCCAGCAGGCGCTCTGAACAAGCTCACCAAATGAAACATGAAGCCAAACGTGGGTCATTTTACAAGCCCTGTTGACTGCAGGAAATCTGCCCATGCAAGATGAGAAAGGGATAGCCTCTGGTTCCGCATCCTTCACCCTCACAGCTATCTGATTATCTTGCATGCCTCTCTGCATTTCTTACGGAGATAAAACTGTCTGCTTTAGCATCAGCTTTGGAGGAGTACCTTAGGGCTTATCTATGCTCACAGTTCCAGGATAACTCCACGTGTGGAAATCTGTAAGATCACCACGTCCCAGTTCAGTGGGCTCTATGGCAAAAATGGATTAAGCTTCATCAGCACAGCGTCCTTTCATTCTGTAGTGAGAGCATGCAGATGCAGAGTAATTCAGGAATAGCTGTTAAGTTTTAAATTCATATCTTACTGTAAAACTAGAGACTAGACTGCCTTCCACTGTGGACGTGACTTTAATCAGCCACTATAAGACAAGATCACAGGCTGGAATCTGCTTTGATTCAAGAGTTTGTCTGCCAGTGTCAAAAAGTGAGATGAACTCAACTGTCCAGCAATGAGATGATTCCTCCGTGGGCAGAATCAGACCAGCAGAACATCTACCTCAGATTTCCAGCCCTAAAGGTCCCACAGCTGATTGTTAATTTCCTGCTCCCCATAAAAGCTCATACCCTGATTTTTGCCTTACCTGAAGCAGTTAACCATTGTTATACGTCCTGCAGCGCAATGATTGGTATCTGCCACAATGCTTTGTTCGAGGAATCTTTATAGGAGAGCTTATATTGTTCACATATTTACTGCTCATTGCTCAGAGATAAAGAAGGGAGGGCTGCACGAGAATATCACGTATTCTCAAATGCCTCCCAGATGCCTAATGAACGAACTGATGCAACTGCCTACAGTTTTAGGTCAAAATGAATATTGCAGGTCTGTGGAGTCAGAATTCAGCAACTCAGAGCACAGATTTGCTGCGATCCAATTTGCTGCTCTTCCCGTGTCTTTAGCATCACTAGACTTCCCCTCAGCTGGAAATATTGATTCTTGCTTTTATTTCTACAGTCACCCTGTCGAGTGTCCTTTGTCCCCATCACAGCCTGCTCTCCGCACAGGGCTTTAATACGCTGTAATTAATCCACTTAAATGGAGGCCATTGGTTAACCTGGGGTAGTCTTCCTGCAAGTCCTGCGTGGACAAGCTATTAGCTGTTTCCATAATAGGAGCAGTAAAAAAACCTATTGACAGGCAAAACCAGGACGCAACCCCTTCCTGAATGAAGAAAGCACAGCATCAACAGTTAGAAGTACGCACGCCAAGAATGAGTGGAAGGAGACAGTCAGGAATGAGCTGAGGAGCCCTCGCATCCCAGTTCCTATCAAGCTCTGTGTTTTCCCCTCTGGGCTCAGCCCCAGCAGGAGCAGAAGCAGCCAGCTGTCTTCCCAGCACCATCGCTGCAGGCAGGGCAGGAAGAAAGCACATCCTGGCAAAAGGAAGTTCATTTGCCAATTACTTCCTATTACAATTAAAACGCAATTATCTTGAGGCCAAATGTATCCTGATGTTGGAACCTTTTGGTTATGAAAGCTCTACCACAGCCTATCCAGCACCTGGATTTGTCTATCCTTTATGCATGTTTCTCTGCTCACATGAAACACTTCCAGCTGCCCTTTCCAGACCAGAGGAGGTGCAGCACAGTCGTCACTGATCAATATTTTATTTTAGATCACCACTGGGTACCAGAGGGCACATTTCCAGACTGATTGGAGAAATCCAATACACGTCTTTGCCTCACGTGTTGGAAATGCGGGCCAGCTGCAAACGCTCTGCTCAGGTCTGCATCCATCACTTATTATCTCACAGACATTAACAGTACTGAACCCTTCAGCTGCTTAAGGCTCCATTTCCTTGTATTCTTGTCTCCAAAACTGAGATCGCTGACAATCCCCACTTATTTTTAAAACACAGCATCCATACATTCTGTCCATCCCCTCGACTTTAAATTTCACGACCGTACATTTGAAAGCAGAAATCAAAAAGAGGTGTTACTGCTCTGCACTTCATAATCTACAACAAAGGGAGAGCAAAACAAAGATAAGGAGAGCAAAGAGCCTGAGAAAGAAGAGTGAGACATCAAAAACATGAAGCTGATTTCAAAAAGGAGCTTCTGCTATCAAAGGCCACCTTGTGAAACAACTCTGTAGTGCTCCAGGTTGTATTTTCTTGGTGATTTCAGATCAAAACTATCCCATTCACAAGTAGAATCATTCTCTCTTCCCGTAACTGCTGTCCTCAAAGCTGCTTGGATTCAAGAAGTCAAAGAGGATTTTACTTATTGCTGACAAAATAGATTAATTAAGGATTTTTCAAAGCAGCCTAATTCTTCTTGATAGGGAATTGAATTTGCATACTTCACTCCCTCAGGCTCCTTTAGGCACTTCAGTCTCAAACTTTCACAATTAACTGGAGTTTTGGAGCAGTTAGATGTAGGTATGTTAAAGCAGATCTAAGCTTCAGGAGCTGCTGGGCATCTGTGTTGGCAGCAGCTGAAATCCTGGGCAAAGCTCTGCATTGGGAAAGATTGCTAATTGCTCCACACACAAACAAGGTCAGGATGCTACTGCAGCACGGAGCTGCTCCAGCAGAAACAAGGGAGAACCCAGGCTTTCACCACTGGCCTGACTCCGTTCCTGTTGGAGTCACTTCTAGGGTAAAAGGCACGAGAAAACAGAATGTACCTCTAACCTAAAGTCCAGATTTTCAACACAGATCTCTTGAGGAAAAAGTTACAAGCTGCTGGAGAAAGGGAGAGCAAGCACAAACCAAATAAACTATTCAAAGGTTTATTGGACCAAACAAAGGCAATTTTTACAGATTCAAGCCACTAGAATGACAGTCCTTCATATAAGAGCCACCATCAGATACAAAACAAACAAACAAAACAAAAGTAAAAAATACCCAGACAGCCACTTGAGTTGAAGAAATAGTTTGACTCGCTGCCACTAGCAAAAATCTGGACTCAGCTATAGACTTTGCTGGATGTACGTATTGCCATGTAACAAACACAATGTATATAAGGCATTCTTTGCATAGTTGGGTGCTTGGGACACAGAGTCAGCTAGCCAGCACCAAAGGGAGACAGCAGCTGTACTAGTGGGTGTTGAAGCAGAGGGTGTGCCTAAATTCGTATGCAAACCACTGAAGACGCTTGCAGTTGTTGGCTGGGAAGGGGCAGCCCAGCCTCTTCTAAGCTGAAGCCTCCTGCTGTTCTTTAAACGAGCCCTTTTATTAAGAACTTGCCAACCCCAGGCGCTGGAAAGGACAACTGTGTACAAGGTTTCAAGTATCGTCTGCATAGGAATTAAAAAGGAAAGAAAAAAAAATAGAAAAAGCAGCCTGTTGGTTTTCTGATATGTTTGCAGCTTTAGCCAAGAGGCTGCTGTCCTGCAGTGAGAGAAGACTTGAAGGACGCGATCCCAGCCAGCCTGGTGCTTCTGCAACATCACTAGAGGACTTGGGCCCTCTTCTCACTCTCACAGACCAGCTGGCTTTCATTCGCAGCCTGCTGTGCCTGGAGCAGGCATGTGCACATAGCCAAATTCATCCCCTGACGGAGCTGAGGAGAGGTGCTGAGATGTGGCTCCTGTGGACAAGCCACTGGGCTCGCAAGAAAAGAGGGCAATGGGATAGCAAGCGGGCAGAGAAATGGGGAGGGCGTCTCTTCCAGGACCCCCCTAATCTCATGCTGAGCTGTGGGAGCTCACAGTGCCATAGCTACCTCCTTGGGTCTCATCTCTTGGGAACAGAGCGGGGAAGCGTGAATCCGGATAACAACAGTCAAAGTGTGGTCTCCGAAGCCTTCACCACAAACTGAGCAGCTAAGCTATCAACCTTCATCACTCCTCCAGTCTTCCATCTACCTGCAAGATCAGCTCTTTGCTAAAATAACTACAGAAGTGAGATTTAAGTCAGCTAACATCTTCTCTCCCTTACTTTGATCCCACTTCGTACCTCCACCCTTTGGAATAAAGTAATGTCACACAGTGTTTGAGATCAGTCAGTTCCCACTCCCCAGCAGCACAGGAAGGATTTGGCTCTAAGAAGAAACAACTTGGTAGTCTGGTACAAGATCCAGGCCAGTCTGGGAGAAGAGCTACAGTTCACCCACCCCTCTAAAGAAACAACACTGACTTCATGGCAGGGCTAATACGTGGTAGTGAACAAAACTAATAGGCTCGCTGCAAATTTGGTATCCAATTTGGGTTCTGTTTGAAGGAGAGGGAGAAAGGTTAACGTAGGATATCCCAGCCCCCCCAAACACAACTCAAGTCACTCATTGGGCCCAGCCCCAGTCCATGGAGACACACAAGGATCTCCTTAAACTTGATACCACAGGAGTTTTTGAAGAACTCAACTTCAGAGCAAGAGGGATGCCAAGTTTTGAGGGCTTATGGATTCTCTTATGGGTGTGTTTGGTTGGTTTTGGTATTTCTCTCAAGCCTTTAAAGATGCCAAGGGATTTCTTTAGGAGGAGGCTAGGGACAACTTCATATAGTCTTCAGTTCTGCAAAGAGAAACAAGGAGAGAAGAGAAATATTTCAGTCATTTCACCCCTCAGGATGGTTTCATTATTATTCATATAAATGAGCAAGAGGATAACTCGGTATGAGTGGAGGAGAAGGCAAGCCAGCTTTCCCCTTCTGGGAAGAGTAAGTCACTGTTTGCAAACCACGTGCCTCAAAGGAGGAGGCACGTTTCCTCATCAACTGCAGCAGGATAGCTGAAACCTGGCCAAAGAAGTGTAAATCCTCTCATCTGGCATCAAACCTGAATTGCAGTCTTTCTTTCTGGCCTATGATGAGAGCTACAGAAGTCCAGCTAACTGGAAACCTTCATCAGCTCCAAGGATTACTGCCTCAGTGTCCCATGCAGAGCTGTCTTGGGCTGCTCACACACTTGTCCAGCCCACGTTCCTCCTGCCACCTGCAACCAGATGAGCCAGGATCCGGTTTCCTGGATGAATGGGTCAACCTTTCTATTGATCTGTCTGACCAAAGAAAGGAGGCAAAACCAACAGACTCTATAGACCACAGCGCTTCCCTCCTCTCCTAATACCTCAGGGAAGGAGGGTGAGATTATTAGATACATTTTATGGATGGAGACATCCAGGCACTCCCCAAGGTCTTGCAGCATGTTAGCATGAATGTGGTCCCTCTTTCCCAGCCTGAACCCTTCAGATGCTCTGCCCTGACTGCCTCGTGGAATGCTGTGATACACATGGAGCACAGCCTAATTCCCCTGAATTCAGTAGGATTCACAGTGCCTAACGCCTGAGTCTCATTCAGATGTCACCTGCTCCTGGCAGCTACAACATAAAGGCAAGTTGCAGCCTCATTTCTTCCTTATTCCTCTGCAAAAAGTTCAACTGTCTGCTGTTTTGTACAGACACTCAGCAACCCGGATCTCGGATGGGAGACGAAGGCTGAAGCCTCACAAGGGCCCAGGGCTCCTCAGGCAGTGCTGGGGAAGCTCAGCAGCCAACCCATGATGGCAAAGAAAGAAAATTCTCCAGAGTGGATAATCGCTGTGTGGGATTCGCAGCACTGACCATCAGATCATCCTGCTCAAGCCACACAAGCATAATCAGATTTTACACATGAGGGCATAAGTTCATTGCCATGGGGGCCCAGAAGGAGAAGTTCCCTCCAGCGTGCCACAGTTGGAGTGGGGAGGGATGGAGGACATCAGGGAGAGTGGATGGGGCTCAGATGCATCCCCTCTGCAGGGATACTCACCTAAAGGACAGGGCTGGGCTGACAGCAGGGGTGAGATCTTAAACAAAACATGGCCTTGATGGAGGATATCTGTCAAAACCACAAATTCCCTATCAGCAAAACAGGGATACCCCTGTCTGCTCCTGGAGCAAGCTGGGAGAGGGATTAAAGAGCATGAGGCAGACTGTCATGGGAACATCAGGGCCATATAATTCCCTGGAATGAAAAGCTCCAACATTGCTGCCATGGAGCCTGAGAGATTTAATTATCTTAGGGTGAGCCATGAGCCACCGCCTACCCTTGGGTCTTCCCTGCTTTCCATTTGACGTGGATGGTGAAATCAGCCTTACCAGCATTCCTTCCCCTGGCAGCATATGAATCAAGCCAGGTTATGGTCTTTTTTTAATGGATTATTTCTTCATATATAGATTATCCAAATTGCTCTGGCCTCAGTAAGGGCCAAGTCAATAAATCATAGTGTCGATCAACTGGATGTGGTTATATGCAAGGAGCAACCAGAAAATAAGGAGCTTAGACAAGGGCAGGTCATAGGTGGAAAATGGCTCAGGAGCTGAAGCTGGGAACACTGGAGCATGAGGTTGAACAAAGCCTGAGGTAACTGGTCTCTGCTGCTGAGGAAAAGGGAAGGACATTTTTATCCCTTCCTTTTTGTCCTGCTTGCAGTTCCTCTGCAATCTGAGAGCAGCATCTCCAGCACAGGTGGAAACCAATTGTCTTTCTGATGGCCTCGGAAGCATTGCCCTCACTCCAGCTCAGCAATGACAGCACTGGAGCATGGACTTCTTGTCAGAGAGCAGGCAGCATCCCAGCGCTAATGGCCCTCTTGCAGTCAAAATCCACAGCAGGAGGTCAGAAACCTCACAGCTCATCCCAACTGTCCATAGCTTTCCAGAGGGGCCTCGACACTCTCCAAGGAGAAGATCCCCAGACATCTTGCTCTAACCACCTCTGGGAATTGCTTGCAGCCATTTCAGGAAGAATTTCATCTGGAAAGCTGATTTTCAGAAGCGTGGAGCATTCCCAGCTCCTTCCCCTAGCAGGTAAAGCAGGCACTCAGCTTCTCAAGAACATCAGTCCTCTGGTCTGAAGTGCTGGCAAGGAGGGCGCATACCTTCTGGCGTCAGGCTCTTCTCGTTCCAAGGCTATGATTCACCTTTGAGGCTCCAGAGCAGTGAGGAAAGGCCACGGGCACTGGGCCTGGCACTGGGAAACCAGGCTCCCCCAGGCATCTCCCTCCCATCTTACTACAGAGACTACAGTCTCATCACCATCGCTTCCTGTGTCTCTACCCTTGCGGTAGATATCATCTCACTGCTGGCAGTGAGCATCATGTCCAGGAGCACAGTACTGCAGGAACGACACGAGGAAGGACTTACTAAATCCAAGCTTCCCCTTCAGCCCCAAAATTGTGGGCCAGCTTCAGTCAGTGGATAAAACATGGAGAGAGAACTTAACCGCAGGATATGGAGAGAGAGTGCTTTGAAAGAGAAGAGTGAGAGAGTGAGAGGTACCAAAGGGAGATTTTATCTGCACAGATCTGAAATTCCTCCAGTGGGACCAAACAGCCAGAAGCTGCATAGGACCTTGGGGGTGCCTGTTGCTCCTCAGCACACCAAGGCGGCAGCTGAGGCTGCAATTAGGAGCACAGTCCCAGCAGCTCAAGGACAAGGCTGGCAAGGCTGAGCTGCCCTTGCTCAGTGCCGTTTCAAGGCAGAAGCCTCCTACGCTTCCCAGCCGCAGCAGTGACAGCTGAAAAGGCCACAGCACAGCCAGGAAGGCAGCTTGAACTCTGCCAGCTCAGCTCAGCTCACCTCCTCCAGTTCTGTGCTCACCCCTTTGCGATGCTCCTGAACCTGAGTCCATGTTACAGAAGTGGAGAAAATAACAGATGGGCCAACCTATGCTTGCATGCCTGGCTTCCTGCAGCCCATGATGCCACAAGGGAGGCAGCCTGGGCTCCCAGAGAGTTAGCAGAGGGAACAGCAAGCTGCCCATGCAGCGTGAGGTTAAGCAGAAGCAAATAGAGCCAAATTGTGAGCGCTGGGTGAGGGAGATGCAAAGCAGGCACAAGCTGGGACAATTCGGGACCTCAGCCAAAAGGAAAAACCCAGGAGCTCAAAGCAGAGTCTGAAACTTCATCCCACGGCAGGGCTGGGGACTCAGCCTGCAGAGGAGCGTCTGGAAGGTTCCCCCCAGGGATGGGAGAGGAGAGGAAGGGCTCTATTAGCCTCCCTTTTCCCTGTGTTTCCAAGGGAGGCATCCTGAGCTGCTCCGTGGGACTCATGACTCAAGCAGATGCTCTATAAATAGGGCCTGAGCTCAGCCCCACTGATTTCTCATAGACATTTTCCCTATGGAGATGCATCACAGCCAGGGGAGTTTGGTGGGTCCCTCTGTACCCATGTGCCCCTTTCCTCCTAGGCTGTTCTGTGGCTGAAGGCAGCCTTCCCCACGGCCACTGCCATCCCCATGGCTGGGGGCCGCAGTGAAGCAGTGGTCAGCCTGATCTGAACAGAACCCCACATTCACAGTGTTTGTAGCCCCCTGTTGCTACTTCTCCTCCCTCAGCCCAGGGTGACTATCGTGCTGCAGAAGATGAAGAGCAAACAAATAATAAAAATCCAAAGAAAGCCAAACTTACCAGCTTCCCTCATCCAAATGAAGTGCCATGCTGGACAGGAAAGGACAGCAAGCAAGCAAGCCAGGGCCATGTGATGGCAATGCAGGAGGAGGACAGGGACAGATGCAGAAAGAGAGCTCTCCTGAAATACAGCCTCCCCCAGCCCAGATCACCCACTTTTTCTACAGGGCCAGCAGTGGACATATTCAAAATTGGTCAAAGTCCAACATCTAAATCCTAGCAGCTGCTTCCTGCCCTTGTGTTCTCAAGTCATCACTGCAAGCATTGTCTGGTTCAAAATGGCACTTCGGCACAGCTCTTCCTAAAGCCACAGCTGCATCCCCATTTGATCTGGGATGTCTGGCAGAGCAAGATCAGCCCACTAACAGCCCTAGGACTGTACTTGTGCCACATCCAGCCTGGACAGGCTGCACCACTCCAGTCCCACATCCCCATGTCTTCTCTCTGCCTTTCCCTGCAGTTAAGGTCTGGCCATGCGCCCTGCCTTGCTGAAACTCCAGGGTCCAAGCCTAGGTTTATTTAGCAGCTCGTAATTAAGAAGCACCCTGGACCCAACTGGGGGCTAGCCAGCTTTCCATTGCTAACTGATCACCAAGAGAAGGGCAGTGGGTAGGATTTACAGCCATCCCATTCCCTTTGCTTGAACTCCAGTTTGCAAGCAGTACCTTCTCAACCCACCCATGGCTGGCCAGGAGAGCCAGAGAATTAATCCTAGAAGGGCTGAGATGACTGTGGGAACCACGCTTACTAGCAAAGCAAACACAGCAGCCCTCCCTACCTTCTCCCCAGTCCTGTAGAGGTTGGACTGTGGTATCACAGAGCCATCCATCACACCTGCAAGCAGCAGGCTCTGGGCAGGTTGGGGCACTGAGTTTCACTCAGGCACTGCTTTAAGGGACAGAGTGCTGTGAGGCTTTTCCAGCCCTGGAGGTGCCCTCATGTTTGCAGCTGGGCCCCTCAGGGTCAGAAACTTTGCTGTCCTGTTTCTCTTGCTTTCCCCTTCCCACTCCACTCCTGGCACTAATTTAGGTTATGCAAAACCACAAACATCTCATCCGAGTACACATGCAGAAAACACAGCCTCTGCCTATGCTGCAGCCCACACAGCAATGAGAAGCATCTTAGTGTCTCATTGCTGGCCAGGGAAGGTGACTGACTGGGAAGTGCAGCTGCAGCACCCAGAGCTTGGGGGACAGCTTCTGGTTTTCTAGCTCTGCCTCTCCAGAAACCTCAGAAACAAGAGAAGACAAAGAGGAAAGAGCTTCCTATGGACTATCGTGTGGGATCTGCTTTCCCTTCAGCCTGCACACCTACAGAAGAGTGGGAGGTACTCAGCATCACCAAGGCCAACCAGGACTTGCTGGGACCTGCTCTATCTTGTAGAAAGAGAGAACTGAAAACAAAAACCTACGGGAATCTCTCTCCTGGTTGTTTTCTTTTTTTACTAAAAATGCAGCCTTGTTGCAGCTGTCAGCGCTCACTGCACAAACAAACCAACCCACTAACAGCCCTGGGGCTGTACTTGTGCCCCATCCAGCCTGGACAGGCTGCACCACTGCAGTCCCACATCCCCACGCTTTGCACCGTGGCAGCTGCAGTTGGCAATCGATGACCAAAAGCCTCAGGTGCAGAAGAGATGGATTTGGGAAATATGCAATGCTGGCTTGACTCAAGGCTGCATCCTTCCCTGCTCCCTTCCCCTTCCTGCTCAGACTGCTTTTCTCCCCCAGAGGAACAAACGCTACGTGCTTCTGTTCTCCATGTGCTGGTAACCCCCCAGGTGTGCAGTGCCACCAGCCAAGCAGATGTGTTTGCCTCCAAGAGTGACCGTCCTTCCCTCCTGAGAAGTCCTGCTATTTTTTAAGACTGAAGTAATCAAAAAGCAGGAAGTTGCATCACTCCATGAAGGTCACATTCCTTCCCTTTGGAGTCCAGATTTAGCGCCAGTTTGAAGCTGCAAGATTCAAGTGAATAGCAGGCAAGGCAACCACAGCTTCAGGAGCGATGCAGAGTATGAGCAGAAGTGGGTTTTTGTTTAAACAACCCTTCCTACTGCATGTCTCTCCTCTCCTACTGTCTACGGGTCTTCCTGTAAAAGGAATGATCTCAGTGGCATTTCCAAAATCAGGTGTCCCCAAAGGAAGGGCTCCTGATGACAGACCACAACAGGCAGTTCCAACTGGGAGCCTTGCATTCTGGGGATGTTGCTTCCAAGCTGCTTCCTACAGGTGCCTGCTGGCCCATGGGGGTCAACTGAAGGGTCAGCAGCAGGCTGAGCCCCCACCTCCAGCTACGTGCCCTAGGGCTAACCACCAGCTCACTGCCCTCATTTTCCAGGTCAGGAAATAGAAGCGTTCATGGGATGTCTGAGCTGAGGAACCCATATGGAAGAGCTGAGCAGCTGGACGTGAGAACCCTCCATTCCAGGTCCCTTTGGAGTGCTCGTGGAAGTGAGATGGAGCAGGGGGAGCAGACTCATTAATCTGTTATGGGGAGGGAAGGGAGGGGGGAGAGATGGCTCAGAAATAAACCCTCCCCCCCCCCAGAATAAAACCCAAAAGAATAAAAAAACAAAACAAAACACCACAGCAAAACCACCGAAACACATTAGCAGATGTTATCCATGGTAACACTACTTCTAAGAAACGGCGCATCCTTACCAAACAGATTTGCAAGAATGTTTGTGGCCGAGGACCTAAGGTACTTGCTACAGAGATGTGAGATCAGAGGTCAGCTCAATCCTGCAACATAAAGGTGGCAAACCTGGGTCACAGCGGGTCGGCAGCGGTCAGAGAGCAGAACGCATGGAACCAGGGAGAGGGACGGGGCTCGGGGGGACCAGGCTGAGCTGCTGCCCTCTGCTCACCTGGACCTCACCCAGCAGCACCCGGACCCACACAGCACCCTGAAATGAGAAGCTGCTGATGGCACAGGGAAGAAAATAAGGCAGCGACACAGCAGGACAAAAGTAAAACATAAAAAACAAAATTCATAAAGCTGCCGTAAGGAAATGAACAACACAAACAGAGAGGAGAGACAGCAGAAGGGAGCAGTAGGAAAACGCGCTGCCAATGGCCCTCAGTGTGCGAGCTGCTGAGAGCTTCCAAGGCATCTTCAGTGCCATCTGCCAGCCCTGGGGGCACAGCTCTTCCCTGGGACGTGAGCACTGATACCCATCCTTCAGTCCAGAGGACAAAACCTTGGCTGGGGATGCAGCGAGAGCGACGTCCCCTCACCGCACCCACAGGATGCCCAGTGGCTTTTGTTGCCACGAAGGAGCCAGCCCTGCAGGTCTCCCGTTCGAACCCTCACGCAGTGATTGCTCAGCTGGCTGCTGGAGCTGCAGATGCAGAGGGTTTTGCAGTGGATTTTGTACCGGTGCTTACAGGATCCCCCAAAACAATTCCCATTGAACCCTGTGGGTTGGGATTTCATTCACATTCACTCTGCTCATTCCATCATCCCCTCCCCATGTGAAAGCAGTGATGCCAACAGACCTGGCAAGTGTTGTACAGACTGCATGCTCCAGGCATGATAAAGACATAATGGGAAGAAAGCAAACATTTTCCTGATGCCAGCAATGCAGGGTCAGCCCAGAAGCAGCCAGAGCTGGCTTGCATGGCTGAGACCAGAGCGTGCAGCCCAAGCAGAGCGCTGCTCCTAGCAGAGCTGCACAGCAGTGAACCCTGAGACCTGTGGGCAGAAAGGGAAGGCATCCCTTGGTGTGAAAGTGGGGCTAACATGAAGGGAAATGGTGCAGGATCAGCATGTTTAGGGCAGCTTGCATGGAGAGCTAGGGCCCACAGCCCCTCCTTGGGGATGACAAGGGAGGGACTGGCATCTCCTCAGCATGCTGTGGGCCACACTGGGATACGGAGCTCCAAAGCTCCACATTCACTCCCTTTGCTCCAGTATTTCAGAGCTGTACCCAAACCCTCAGGCAATTGACAGGGCAAAGGGAGGGGAAGGGGCAGTCAGAGCCTCAACGGATGGAAATCAACGTGGTGCCAATGGGTCCGTGGATATACACCAACTTGCACAGGTGAGACATCAGGTCTGAGCATCCAGAGGAGCTTGCCCAGCTGCAGTGAATCACTGTGGCCCTGTATCTCCTCAATCCACGTGATTGTATTTGTGGTGGTGTGAGATCTTGCTTCAAGAAACCTCCAACCAGATGGACTCAGGTGAGAAGGGAAAAAAGGAAACTCAGCATACCTTTGTTCTTCCTCAAGTTCTTCTTTGGTCATCATTGACTTGTACTGGTTTCCCCTCAGCTTTCCAGGACTGTACTTAAAAGAGAACGTCTCATCTGCAGCTGGGGAGGGCAGGACAGAGGAGAGCAGGAGATGGTGTGAGACAGAAAGCACCTGAGAGGGACATTCAGCATCCACAGGCTCGAGCTGCACGCCCAGCCCTGCTCCCATGCATTCACCCATGAGACTTCCACCATCGGTTCCAGAGCCTCAGGAAACCCTGAGGTATCTCTCCCCTCCTCTCCCCAGAGGCCCCTTTCCAGATCTCCCCATCTCAGCCTCGGGCTAATTAGTGCCAGAGCTCACGGATCTCGAAGCAAAGCTGATCCTTTTCCAATCGGATTTTATTAGAGCTCCGTTTGCCTTTAGAAACCTCTCCCCTTCCTTATCTTCCCAGAGACAACAGAGAACAGCAGCGGTGGGGGGCGACCCAAAGGGCGGCCCTGAGGGCTCACGGAGCCGCGCTTATCTGCAGCTGCTGATCCACAGACCTTTATCTGCCAAGGACTGTGGGATGGAGCTGCCTCGTGTCAGCTGCTCAGCACAGCTGCACCCACAGAACCATCTGCTGTCCTCACAGAGCCCCGGGGCTCCTTCCGAGGAGTCCAACCAACAGAAGATGCTGTGGCCCTGTATCTCTCCCCTCCAGGGAGAAGCCTGACTGCCTGTGCATCCCCGGGACGCTGCATGTTACCCACAAACCCACCATCCTGGGTGATACCTCCAGGCACCAACGAGACCCCATAAAAGTGGTCACGAAAGCGTATGGAAAGAAAATCAGCTGCTGCTGCTGCTTTGGGAGACACTGGGAGGGAAAGAACAGAAAGAGAGGGTGTAACATCCTGTTCCTTGCCCTGGTGCAGCCCAGGAGTTATTTTATTACCTTCGTACAGCTCGCCTGATTTCAAGGACAATTAAAATCACTTCCCCCACACGGTTCTCTGCCAAATTGAGATTTTGCCTGTTCAAAAAGGGCAGTTTAATTGCTGCTCCACCAGAAAGGAACAAGCAGCAGGGAGGAGAGGTGGCCACCTATCTCACTGCCCACGTGTTGTGGCTTTGGAAACCGCTGGATGTTTTTTGAGCTCAGGAACTTTCTTTGCAGACTGAAAACAAACTTCAGGAAGCACGGAGCAGGGAGGCAGGGCTTTCACGTGGCCGGCTGCAGGGCGAAGATGTGACCTACTTACCAGGAGCCTGGCCAGGAGCATAGGAAAGAAAATATTTATTTTTCATCTCTTCTCTTGCATTGCATTGCAAGCGCTGGCAGTGTGTGAGCCGGGTGAGAGCCCTGCGAGCTCAGCAGCTGCCTCCTGCCTCCCATCTCCCAAAGTGGGGCTGAGCTGCTCTCGTGCACCGTGGGCTCGTGGGGATGCTGAGCAAGCCGTGAGCCGTGCCCGACTCCATGTGAGCTGCCCCAAAATAGCCATGAAGCAAAAAGGGCAAACCTTGGCACAGCACCATCACCATCATCCTTTGGGCAGCAGGCGCCCGTCGTTCATCCAACCAGATCGACCAGACCCATTAACACCCCTGATGCTGCACGGAAGCCCAGCAGGATGGAACACACACATCTTTGTAGAACCCTGTCCCCTACAGAGGGAAGGCGCTTCTCCCACCTCGCATGATTAAAATTTGATTCCCTGTGGCATTAGGGTAATCCTCCTGAGCCTGGGGATTGCCATGCTGTGCCTTACCCGGGTTGGGAGGAAAGTGGGGCAGAGCAGGAGGAGCACCAGCACGGAGGGGATGTGGGCACAGCCCCACTGACACACTGCTGCTCGATGGGCCACCTGCTTTGTTTTCTCTGAGCACAGCCACCCCAGTGAGGCAATTCATCATTTTCCAATCAACTAATTGAGTAATTAGTTAAATGTGGCTCTGCCTACAGACTCCAGAGATGTGCCTCGAGGGGAGGAAGGAGCTTTTGGGGTGCTGCTCCAAGGGATTGAGCTGTTTGTCTGCTCCCAGGTATTTAGTAACAGTGACAGCCCAAGGGCAGGGGCCCTTCTGCTGTGTGTGGATCCCCAGTAGCTGCTTCTCCCTCCATGTCCCTTCATTTTGGGATGTTGGGTCCTTCTCCCCTGCACTGCTCAGAGATGGGGGACCATCCCCAGGCACTGGGGCTCAGCTTTTCAGACCATCCCCGTGGGGCACTGCCTTTCTGGCACTCACCATCATCATCCTCCGTCTCTTTCACCATCAGCTTCTCACTGTCTGAGTCTGGATCTTCCTCCTGCAGAGGAAAAAGACAGAGCAGCCATGATCAGAAGGTGCTGCTCTACATCACCTATGAGAGCCCTCAAAATCGGGTACTGCTTCCCTGCCCCATTCTGAGAAGAGGGGAAAGGGATGCTTTGCTAACAAGCAACATTCATTAGTCTGCTTCCTTCTCACTGCCTAGCAGTGTCATGAGAACTGCCCTCTCCCCATGCCCACGGGGCTGCCATTACAGTCATTTCCTCCCTTGGGCCCTCAAGCACCAAAAATAGCCCCAGGAGCAGGGAGGGAGGCTTGGAGCTGGGTCTGGGGCATGGAGGGGCCCAGCAAGAGGAGCATCCATCCCACACAGACACGGGCAAGCAAAGCTGCCCCCAGCAGGAGCCATCTCAGCTCAGGATGCACAGGGAGGAATCAAACAGCACGGAGTTTTAACACAAACCAAGCCTGGAAGTTTTGGGGTTGCCTCCCACGAGTCGCAGCAAGCTTTATCAAGGCCGGATTCCTTGCAGATGGAACGCGGGGAGGGAGAGAACAGCTCCAGCCCTGGAGATAAGGCTGGGACACAGGCAGTGCCCACACACGTGCCTTCCTCCCTGTGTGATGCAGACAGGAGGGGAACCAGCACGGACCCCGCACTGGGTTTGCAGCGGTGGCTTCATATCCACCACTAAGCGTGGTACTGCTCAGACCCAGCTTGCTTTGTCATCGGTGAGGAATGCGCATTATTCACAGCCCCTTGGCTTCTCCTCACCACCCAGCTCCCCAGGAGGACACGTGGCTGACACCCCAGCAGCCATCGCTATTTTGGGCCACGCTTCCAAACATGGGCACTCACTGCTGATACCTGGGCAGCCCCGTGGCCAGCAGAGCAGCACCCAACAGAGAGGATGATGCTCAGCCCTGGCCCTGGGGGTGCTGAAAGAGAACTGTTCCTGCTCCAGCCCACTGGAAGAAACGTTTGATGGGAGCAGAGGGGGAGCAGGCTGGGCTGCCAGGCCAGCAGGAGACTGCTATGTGCTGTGGTCACACTGGGGAGCTCTGCTCGTGGCAACTGCTTGCTCACTACAGCACAGCATTTTTCTGCTCAGAGGCAGATGCCGGCAGCTCCCTTCCCCCCGCGCTGCAGCCCTGCCTTCCACAGCCCTGTCCTTCTGTCTGCCTGGTCGGGAGCAGCTCCCACAGGCAGCCCATGGGATGAGTACTGGAATGAGCCAGGAGCTGCTCCTGGCCATGGGTGCAAGTCCAAAGAGCACATTTGCACCCTGGACACACAGACAGAGTCCAGAAAAGCCCCGCCAAGACCCAGGACAGCACTGCTGGCAGCCTTTGCCCCACGGCCACTGCCAGATCAGTGGTACCACAGTCACACGAGGATGCGGTGATGCTGAACCACAGTGCTGCAGAGCAGGGGAAGGCACAGCAGCAGCCCTGGGGATGCTGATGCAGCAGTCGGGCTGCCAGGATGGAGAGCAGTTTCTGCAGAGCTGACACTGCGTGGCACAACCAGCACACGGGTGGGACAGGCACCCCCAGCAGGAGCTGCCAGGAGCTCCCATAAGCAACGCCACCAAATCACAGCCCCCCCAAACCCAGCGCAGGGTTAAAATCCCCCAAGTCATTTCCTTAAATAACAATGCGGCAATACAGCTGTCTTGGCTTTTGGCAGACCTTGGCTGTAGCACTCAAGCATTTGTTAGCTCATCAGAAATGTGCTTTGCCCTTTAGCTTCCATGGCCAGCGAGCAAACGCCCACGTGTGAGCCTGACTTGGGCAGCGCAGGCTGCAGACAAAAGCAGCAGCGAGGATGAGACCCCCGGGGAGGTTTGGGGCACTGAGCAGTAACAGAGTGCTCCCCAAAAGCCCCACTCATGGCTTTCCCAGCCTATGAGCCCTCTTCCAGCCCTAAAGCATCTCCCAGGTGGGAAAGCCTCCTCTCTGTCATAGGGCAATATAGGCTGGGCTCCCCATCACCCTGTTTTCAGCTCATTTATGGCCAACCACAGGCAGTTCCTCCCTCCCCACAGCAGGTTTCCCTCCTCTAAAGGGACGCAAGGAGGGGCTGCTGGGCCCCCACCCCTTCTGCTGTCCCGTGGGCATGATGGGGACAAGCAGAGCCCCTCATCCATTCCAACTGCAGGGAAATGGGAAGGCCCTGGGCTGCAAAGAAGGAGGGAGAAAATTACCCTGGAAACTCCCAGCCCCACGTTGCCATTTATGGCTGCACCTTCTGATCCAAGCCTGATGCAAGAGTTTGCAAGAGGAAGGCAGCGGGGAGCCAGACAGAAAAAGAGAAGCCAGGAGGGAAAGGGGAAGGAAAAAGCCTTTAAAAAGAGGGGAAAAGGAAGCTGATGGGCAGAGTTTGGCAGAGCAGCAGCCCTTGGGCAGAAGAGCTAGTGGGAGATCTGGGGATTTCTGCTCCTTTCTGGCAGGACCCACGCTAAGCTGCCACAGCTCCCACCCAGCAGCTTCTCATTAGGGCAGCAGCATCCATCACATAACGAGCTCCAACAGTGACAAACTAATTAATTTTTTTTGTCAGTGATGGGAGCCAGCAGACACAAGGGAACCACCACCAGAACCCAATGGGAATGAAGATCTCCTTCCCCTGATTCCCCCTCTTTCAGCCCTGCCCAGCACACAGAGAATCACCTTGCCCACCAGGGCAGGACAGGGACCTTGCAGGACAGAGGCAGGGACCGGAGCATAAAGGCAGCAGGAGGGAACACAGACAGCAGGGTGATGCACTGAGCACACCGACGCTGCTTCATCCATCAGCACTTGCTTCAGTGCTTAATGGCTGCAGAGAATCTGAAGCAGCACGTGCTGAGCAGACAGCAGGGAAAAGGAGAAAGGCCTCAGAGTGCTGAGCACAGCCCACTGCTGTCTGATGCACTGGGTCTGCCGAAAAGCTCCAAGCCTACAGCAGCACGATGCTGGCCTGAGCCTCTGCTGAGTCACATCAAGGGACTGCAGCCCTCAGCCACGAGTAGGGCAGGGCTCATTTCCAGCCTGTGCAGCTCTCACTGCTTCGACCAAACTCCTTCCCATCCACACCTGTTAACAACTGCTTGGTGCCAGAGCAGCTCACCCTGCCCTGCTGCTGGGAATCACTTCCCAAGGAAGCAAAACCTTGTCCTGTATCGTGGAATTACTGAGGTTGGAAAAAAATCATCGAGTCCAACCATCAGCCCATCACCATCTGTGCTTTGCTGTGTGAGGCACAACCTGCACTGAGCGCAGTGTCCTCCAGGCCGTGGGCACCCTGGGCTGTGCTCACTGGGGCACCCAAAGGGGAGAGGAACATCCCATACAGATGGTCACCTTCGGGCAGACAGAACTGCAGTGCCACGTTCCTGAAGGAGGAGTAGGTTGCAGTGGTGTCTGCTCAGGAAAATGCGACTGAAGAGCAGCCAGGAGGGAGGAGAAACATTCCCAACTCGTGTTAATGAGACGACAGAGAAACCGCACGTCCTGGGTGCTGCTGAGCGATCCCAGCTGGGATACAGCCAGCGAACGGCAGTCCTGGGCTCCCCAGCCCTGCAGAGCACTGATAAATCCCACAACTCATCCCAGAGATGGACAGATGTCCCCAGCGCTTTTGGAAGGCTGTGACGATGGGGGTCTGCTTGAGAGCCATCCCCGTAGCCAAGGGATGGTGCTGGGACTCAGGGAAAGAAATGGGAGATGAAGGAGGTGGGAGGAGGGCGAGGTCCCAGCACGCAGGGATGGCACTGCCCTGATGATCACCACGGGACACAGAAGTGCCAACCCACTGCGCCTCGCCCGCTGCGCCCGGCGAGTCAGTAGCGATGCCTTCCAAGACAACGGCTGTCTGTCCGTCCGTCTGCACACTGCCCAGCAGCCTGGACGCAGTCACCAAGGATTAGCAATGCTGCTAATAATAGCCAGCAGGCAGCCAGGCCCCAGGCTGTGCTCCCCAGCTCAAACACGTCTGCGTGCCCTGCATCCCTCTCGGGTTCCCCGGTCACCCTGTTGCCTGCATCCCTCACCGGTACAAGGGGCGGCCCCGGGAGAAGCACAGTCAGTTTGAGCCCCTCGAGGGTCCCCAGGCCCACGGCACAGAGCATTAACGCAGAGCTCACGGAAGCCAGCAGGGCAAACTCCTTCCATGGCCGCTGGGTCACCCTTTTATTTTTAAACAAGATCCGGAGCTGGAGGAGGATTTACGAGGCAGCCCCCCCCCAGTTCAAGCACGGGTCAGAGCTCGGGCTGGGAGGCCAGTAGGGTGCTGGGGGGGGACACAAAGGGGAGACCACCCTGGGGCTGCAAGGACAGCAGCTGGGGCATCCTCATGCTGCAGGGGGACGATTTGCTGCAACCCACAAAAAAAGGGGGGACAGAAAGAGCGCAACACCCCCAGCACCTGGAGCAGCTGCTGGGAAAAGGACGTGCAGCCCCCCACGCGAAATTCGCCTTCCCTCAAGCCTCCCTCCCCTTACCTTGCTCTCTTCCTCCTCCTCTTCCTCCTGCTGCTGCTGCTCCCGGTGTTCGGCGGCGGCCGGCGGGCGGGGGATGCTCTCGGGGCTCCGCTCGGCCGCGGATTTCTGCTCGGCCACCGCCGCCTCCTTCTCCTTCTCTTCCTTCTCCTCCTCCTTCTCCTTCTCCTTCTCCTCGCCGCCCGCCCCGACCTCCTCCACCGGCACCCGGCTCCCTTCTACCCCCGGCCCCTCGGCCGCTCCCTGTGGCTCCGCTTCGCCCCCGGCGGCCGAGCTCGGCTCCTCTCTACCCGGCTCCGCTTTGCCCGGCTCCGCTTTGCCCGGCTCTGGCTGCCGCTCCGCCGCCCGCTGCCCCTCGCCTCCCCGCAGCTTCACAAAGACCGAGGCGAGGACGATGGCCAGGACCGTGAAGAGCAGCGGGACGGCCAGGTACAGATCCACGGTCACGTCCATGCTGCCGGAGCCCGAGTGCGCGGCCACCCGCTCGGCCTGCGGCGGGGCTGGGCAGGCTCTCAGCAGCCTTCACCCGGCGTCATCTCCCTCGGCCCTGCCCACAGCCCCGGCCCCATCCCCTCCCCGCCCAGCCCCGAGGATGGGGGGGAAACACGGCTCCGGACAGGACGGGCTCTTCGAGGGCAGCGTGGAGGCCCAGATGGGCTCCGTGCGATGCTCAGCGAACGCTCAGCCCTTGGTGGGAGCTGGCACCGCACGGCAGGTTGTCCCCAGCGAGGAACATCAACGTCAAACCCCAGGAGCTGGGGGTGGTACCCATGATGGCAGGGCGGTAGCCATGGGAACCAGGTGACACTCAGGAGCTGCAGGTGGTACCCGGATAGCCAGGTGCTAACGATGGCAACCAGGTGACACTGACATCAAACCCCGAGCATCACTCCTTCGCCTGCCCCAAGAGCTGCAGGAGAAACATAGCATAACCAAGCCATAACCCTGCTGACCAGGTGATGCCCACAGCACAGGGGTGACATCCCTGGTTTGGGTACACAGTGATGGATGACACAAACTGCTGTCACTGCCAGCAGGGCGCCGAGAGTATCTGGGTTACAGGAGCCTCCCCACAGCACCGCGAGGTGCACCGAGGGACTGCAAATAGCAATGCCCAAAGACTGGGCTGCTCGGAGCCAGCACAAGCCCTGCCAGGGGCTGCGGCCCGGCTCTGCCACCGAGGACTTCCTGCCCCTCGGGGGGATGAACCACCGCTCTGTAAAGCGCTCTGGAATCAGAAGGTTTAAGCTGTGCACAGGTAAAGGCAGCGCTGAGCTCCCCGCGCTGCACAGCGGGAGCAGACATGGGAAGCCCACAGAGCTTCCTCCGGGGAAAAGGCTTCGGGGAATTCTGTGGGAGCGGAATGTTTGTATTGAGCGGCTGAAAACAGAAGAAAAACGGATTAAATCCCCGCGGGGGGGGGGGGGGGGGGGGGGGGGGGAGGGAGAGAGGAAGGAAGAGGAGCCATCCCCGATCCTCACTGCCATTTATCGTTATCGCTAATCCTATCAAGCCGCTGCTTGCGTGCAGATCGTTGTATTCTTAGTAACGACCCGTCACGGTGCTGATCTTCCCCTCTGTGTTTTGTGGGCTCTGAGCATCCGAGCAGCCCCGCAGCTCAGCGCTGCTCAGCGGGCAGCTGCTCCTTCCCAAGCGCGTTCTTAAGCGCAAACTTCCACGCACGTTTGACTCGTCAGATGCAGGTGACGCAAAGGCGGCGGCAGCCCTGCCCCGTGCTGAGGAGCATCAATAGGAGCGGGGCAAAAAGCTCAGCGCAAAGGCGTTGCGGCAGGGCGGGTGCCGGTGCTGGAAGCACCACCGACCACGGCATCCACTTTCCTTTACCAGCAGCGCGTTTCTACAGCCGTAGCCGTGCAGGAGCGCGGCGGCGGGGTTTTGCGATAAGGCAGAGCCGGGAGCGCGCTGCCCTCTGCCGGTCGGAGCCCCGCACGGCTGTGCCGGCACAAAGGCCGCTTTGACGCAGCGCTCCGAGGGGGAGGAGAGGACAGAGGGGCAGCTGCAGAGCTCAGCCGACAAAGGAGGATTGAGGGAGCGGCGATCACGGCTCGGGCAGCATCGCCCATCCGCCGCGACGGGCCGAGCACGAGGGGCAGCTCGGCAGGAGGGCCGGGGCAGCGTTTCGACCTACGACGCGCTTCTGTCAGCTCTGCAGCCAATCTCAGCCCGCAGCCCCACGGCATCCCACCGTGCTGCAAGGAAGGTGTGGATCTTCGGAAGGCGACTAAAAGTAGTTCAAAAAGTGACTAAGAAACAAAAGAATGCAAAATAATTGATTTTATTTCAAATAAAAAGCAAAACCACAATCATCCAAACGAGACAGTTAAGAGTATCCCAGCTCTGCTGGACGGGGCCGTAAAAGCAGCTGATGGCAGAGGCAGGGCTGGGGGCTCAGGCAGGCTGCTGAACGGATCAGTTTGCTTCTTCCTTCCCTCCTTTGCAAGAGGAATGCAAGAGGAATTCCTGTTGCAAGGTTTATTTCCATTAGATTAGCACACACGGCCATCTCAGCTGATTCAGTCAGCAGCCTTGCTTTCCACCCCATAACGGCTGGGGATTGGAGGAGGAAAAGGCTCTGGATTTCTTATGAAAGAAGCTGCTGTCTTCCTTCCAAGCACGTAACTGAGAAGACAACGCAGAGCCAGCCCACCCAAGCTGCAGAAGGGAGGAAGATTTGTGTGCCAGCGCCTCCTCAGCATCACCTGTCCCCAAGCACTGTGCAGCAGCAGTGCTGAGCTGTGTGCTGCACTTCTGAAGGGGCATTAATTTACTCTTGAACCCCCCGAGCAAACAAGCCTGCGCTGGGGAGCAGAGCTCTCGGCTCCCTTCCCTTCGGCAGGGCAGGCACAACACCAGGAAGCCCAGCCCAAACCAGCACGCAGCTGCCAGCAGCCCCAGTGGAGCAGGCTGAGCACGGGGCTGAGCAGAGCAGTGCTGCTGTGGGGCTCAGGGCAACGAGGGGCTGGCTGGGTCTGCTACATCCATGGCTCTACAGTAGGCAGAAGCAGCGGGGTTAGGAAGAACATCAACGCTGCAAGGAGCACAAGTGTGGAGAAGCGAGAGCACAGACGCGCTCCCCAGCCAGCCTCCCACACGCACGGATCCAGGCACGAGGAGCAGCTTCAACGCTGTGCTCTGGCACGGAAGGGGCTGGGGAACATCCCCTTCTTGCTGTAAGGCCAGCGCCCTGATCACAGTTAACTTACCCACTTCATTTCTTATTATTTTTAAATCCTCATCTAGCAAAATAGCAGAACCTCCTGCTTAGAGCAAGTGACAAAATGCCAAATGTTCAATTCCGGTCAGACAAAAAGCCTCATTCTGCTATCAATTTATGTACCACGCAGCAATTCTGGAAGGACCACCGGAGCAAACCATGTGGCCAAAAGTGCTGCACGACATCCCAAATGTTTTCTGCTAGGAAGAGCTAACGCCTGGTTAGGAAGCCTCAGCTTGCTCAGTATTGCTGGAAAACTCATAGGAGAAGGAAGTCAGAGCATCTTACACAGTAATCACATTTCAGCCTCACAACACCCCTGTGAGGTAGGTATTGCCCCTTCTTAACAAAGACAGAAGCTCACCAGCTCAGTCGAGGCAAGAGCCTGTAAAGGAAGAACCAGAGATCCCAGCAGTCCCAGTTCCCAGGCAGCACACACAGCTTTGCTTCCCATCCTGCAGAGCTGGCGGTGCTGGGGTTCATTCCAAACACTGCCTTTCTGTAAGGGACCTTCAACAAACGCAGCGTCTGAGCAGAAACTGCTTCATTTCACCCCATGAAGAGTTCACAGGCACGAAGGAACAGAATGCTCTGCGCTTCGGATCTTCCCTGCTGTGCTTCTGGTGGAGCAGCGCTCGGCCTGTGCTGCAAGACTTCAAGATGGCAAAGCTGATCTCTGCATGCCAAACCCAACAGCGAGCTACAGACCTTCCATACACAGCAACTGCAGCACCAAGGAGGGCAGGCAGCCTCCTCAAACACAGCACACTCCTGTCTCTCCATTCCTCCAAAGGCAGCAGCTCTTCTACCTGCTCTGAGGACTACATGGGTTGTGCAGACTCCTGGCTGTTCAACTGAGCAGGAAATAAAAGGCAACCCTGGGCAGAAATGCTACTGGTTTGGGAAGTTTGCTTCAAAGTGAAGTAATCTGGAATAATCTGCAGGGCCCTACAGGGCAGGCATGTCCACGTGCACTTATGTCTGTTACTAGAAGAAATGCAGGGGTCTGGACAGCTAAGGAGTACACCAACAAACCTTCTCTCCCTCCTCACCAACACACTGCTCCTACATGAACTGACTGGTGCTGGAATTTCAGAAGCTGAGCTCCTGCCAAATGGAGTTTGGGCTCCCTTGTACAACAGGACCCAGCCCGATCTCCAAGAAGGGAGAGAGTGTTTAAACAGGAACGAGACAGGGTTAAAATAAATAAAATCCAACATTCCGGCTGCCATCAAACCCAGCAGATACAACAATTAAGGCTGCCAATCTGCTTTTTAATTCAGCCACCAGTTCTGGGCATCAATGCAGGATCAGTACATGCACGTCACTTTTGCTTTCAACCTGCCTCTCTCAAAGAATGGCTGATGTGAGATGTAAATATACAATAACACCACCTCCTGGGCCTCAGGAGAGCACTCAAGGAAGCATCCCAACACAGCCAGCTCCTGGCTGCACTGTGAAAGGATCTCTTCTAGAAAGGATCTCTTCCTCTCAGCACATCTCCATGAAGACAGACCTCTTTGCTGACACTACCAGCAAAAGCCCCTGTGAAAGGAACAGCAGATCCAACAAATCCCTTGGGGATGAGAGCTCTACCTGCCGTGATACAAACGCACCTACACAGACTAAAAACATCACATTTCATTTGTATAAAGCATCACACAACAATACGCCCCCCTCCCACTCCTTTAAAATTGGCACTGCACGTTTCTGAAGCCATAGCCTCAAAGAAAAGCCATTTACACACGTGAACCACACCGGCCCAAACAAGTCCACGGCCCCAGAACTGCTCAGTATTTAAAGCCCAGCAACTGTTGTTGCTATGTACGAGTCAGATTTTGTCTGTTGTTGCCCGGTGCTGAACATCACACCTACACCTAAAGGAGTGTCATTACTGGCAAATGCTGACTTTTCCCCCCATGTTTTTTGCTGTGCAAGAAACTCCAGGATTCTCCAGCTCCATCGAGATTCCTACGGCAAGGTGCTAGTGCATCTGTCACTGCACAGAGCAAAGGTAAATGGATCGTGGCTGGTTAAAAGGATGCACTTCAGACGTGTACGTGTGGATTAAGAGCACAAAAGATGCTTCAGGTGGGCAGTCAACTCCACTGAAGTGGCTTCAGTGCTTGGAGCATCCATCCCACCTCCGCCGCCATCCCGCTGGGCCGAAGGGCTGCTGTTCCCTTCCTCAAGTGTACAGGACAACATGTAAACATAAGACAGTATCAAAGCAAGGCAGGTTTCTAGGTTTACCTGCTGGTTTTAAAAAGTTCTTTAAAAACTGACCGTTGTCTTCCTCGCCAGTT